TTTTTTTTCTCTTACACAAATCAATAAAAAATTATGGCTGAAATCAACAGTTCCTTCAAAACCCCGTTTTTTCGGAATTTCTTATGTCTTTTATACTAATGAAATTATTGATATTACTTGTTAAACGGATAGTCGGTTGTGCGGGTATTCTTCCATAATGTCAGTTCCATATATCAGACTATAAACCTTCTGCGGAGGTGGTTTTGGCAGTATGCTTTTGTTGGGAATAACTCTGCAATTATAGCGGCAAGACACTCAGTAACAGCTGACGCCTTAAAGCCAGAAAACACCAAAAATTCACGCAGCCGTTTATGACTGGGACATTTGGCTATCTGTAGACGCGTGTTAGTTCACTCGGAGTTACTTGGTCGAACGTTCTTCAACGCTACGATTCTATCTACGAAAATTTTAGCTTCTGGGAGGTGGTGTCGAAAAGAAATAAGAAATGTATTTTTCTAATTTATGCGCATTAAAGGTGTTTTAGGGCGTGTACCGCTTCAAGCTTGTAAATACATTATTTCATTACGATCAGAGTTTTAAGAGTTATTACTCCGACTCTTGGTTAAGTTGTGGTAGCAGTAAATTAGATTTCTGCGAAGGGTTGCAAATACTAGTCGTATTGCAAGCGTTCGTTTGCTAAGTCATTGTCGACCCGGTAGCAGACTAATACTGTCCGATTTCTGTCAGCGACAGCTGGTGTCCTCGCTGAGCATTGGTTTATGCTGGCACAAACACTCCGCCCCTTGAAATGCGGGCACGGTGAGGCGTATTGAGGTCTTAAGTCTGATAATTTCAGTTGTCGTTGTTAGGTCGATTTTTCCTTTCAAGATAAGCTACGTGTTGGGACTTTGATGAAGTGCCAAAGTGTTTGGTTAAAGCTGCGATCGTCTTAGCTTAGTTTCTCGTCTTGTTCTTCTTGGAAGATTTCTTTTAGATGCAAATTTTGACTTGTATATTAAAGTTATTTTGCTGCGTTTGTAGACTTGTGTCCAATTCTGCAAAGATTTCTGGCTTTCTTTTCTGAGGTTAAATAGCTGGCAGAAGCTTAAGTAGTCTAGTACCGTTGCCAGCTTTTATTCCTTGTGGTTTAAAAACGGTTTTTGGGTTTTTTGCTAAATCGTGTAACCGGTTCTTGCACGGTGGTTGACGTGAACAGTGATTTATTCTTGAACAGTAGTAGCAGCACTACTACTTTTGATAACAGTAGCAGTTTTAAAGATGTTCTTTGTGCAGTGGAGCAAGTGAAGCGGAATTTTATTGAGCTAGTTTGAAGAGAACTCAAAGATTTCTTTTTTGACTAAATTATCTCGTCAACAGTTTAGCTTTTGTTGCATCTTGACAAATAATACGTTATTGGTGGTCAGCTGGTTAAGCACTTTATTTAGTGCCTCAGCAAATGCTGAAGCAGTCTCTTTACTACGATTAAAATAACCATAAAAGAAGAGAAGAAGCTGAAGCAAGTGGAAAAATATGGGGAAGCCAGGAGAGGATTGCACAGTTTAAGCAAATATTTTTTGAGGGAAAAAATAAGGAAAATAAAATATAGTAAATAGACGACCAATTTGGCTCATATATTATTATGGACGGAAGACCAGTTGTAAGCAGTTATCGTCCTCGCAATGATTCAAAAAAGAAAAAAAAAGTTGGGGTATTCAAAATGGTGATCAGACATTGAGTAAGAATGGTTTTCAAAATTGAAAAGAATTTTTTGTTATCGTTTTTGTTATTGCTGTCGTTTAGTTGGCGACAGGTCTGTGGACTTTCTTTTTTAA